CCCACACACACACACACACACACACACACACACACACACACACACACACACACACACATACATACACAGCTGTCAGTTGTGCTAGCCAGCAGCACGGGGAATAATCATGCACTGTGTTAAAAACAAATTGAAAATCAGTAGTGAATGTACCCCCCTGAGCAAAGTAAAAAAAATGCAGAGTAAGGCATACCGAATGCAAAAAAAGATGACAGATACTGGGAGTAACAGAGCATCGATATGTGCGCGAAAGGCACTGGAACGAGGTGTATATTCTATTGTGTGAATTTGTGTGTGTGTGTGTGTGTCTGTTATGTGACTACTTGCTTTTATTCAGATATGCTGAGTGGATTGTTTATGATTGAGACCTGGGGGATTTGGTAAAGGTCCCTGCGCAATTTCAGTGCAGGTCCAATAATACAGAACCATTCTCAGTCCAACTAAATACCTCGTCTACCTAACCATTGCACTTGATGGTACACTGCACAACAGTATGTTTTGCAGTTAAAAAAAGTAAACACAAGCTGTAATCTAACATGGTTTATAATCAGTACTGTATTTTTAAGGCTTATTATGTAACCCTTATGTGTATGATTATTGTCAAGCCGTTGTGGGCAAGTAATGCAGATTCACTGAAAACGACCACCAATCTGTGACATTTTCACAACATACAACATCATTGTTTGGCAGTTTATAAAAAAAATACTTTAGTCAGCTTTAAATGCCTGCATTTAAGTTAAAATACTGTATAGTCAACCAACAAAGTGTTTTTGCTTTGTAAGTCTTTCAGTGAAGGTTTTCTTTTCTTTATTATGCCCTCAATTTGGTGAAATAAAGAGCATTTGTCTTTGCTTTAGAGACTGAGAGGAATAGGTCTTCTGTTAGTGTGGGTTGACCGAGTGCACAAAAGACAAATACAGTAAAATGCGTACTGATAAATATCTGTATGCAGCAATATTGTCTTACCTTAGTGATTAGCTTTCATTTCTACAAGTGGGAAATGAGCAAAGAGATATTTTGTATTGATATACAACGCATACTGTTCAGTATGTCAATATAGTGCTTTGGTCATTCAGAGCTTTCCCACTATACACTCTTTTTGTATTGCCTTTTAAATTCAAGCAAACCATTTTTACTTTAAATGGATAAATACTTTAAATGGACTAGCAAATGATTTGAGTCGGTAGCACAAGTTTGGATGCTCAAATGGACATTGAACCGTCTGGGTGTCTTCAAAGAAAGTGTGCATTTGCGTGTTCTGTGTGTAACATGCAGTGCGTGCATGGCTGTTGAGTGGTAACAGGCAACATTGTGAGTAAAGACAGGATGACTGACAGCTGTGTGGCCGAAAATGACAGGCAGAGGAGACTGTTAGAGACACCAAGGATGAAGAATCCACTTGAGCCTCCTTCTTGAGCGTCCTGTGACACGCAGACAAGCAATAAGGTGTGTGAGCTGCCACCCGTGTACCTGTCATAGTAGTCCTCGTGATAGCTGTCATAGTCCAGGTCGAACTCAGATCTGCAGGGGAGATGGAGACAGAGATGGAGAAGGGGTGGTTGGTAAAGTATTCGTAAAAATCTACAAGATGCTCTTTCACTGGGGCGATAACACATTTGACTTAACAAACAGTAAGCTTGTTTGTTGTGTCAGGGTGTAAATGTGCGTGAGCCTCAACAGAGTAATATGGTACAATCACTTCATCTGGAAAGAATGCAGTGTTCAAGCTCCAGCCAGCTAGAAAAAGACATTGGATTTGTTTTGCTGCAGCATCCAAGGTGGAAAATCCATAGAAATTGGCTTCTGTGCCAACTGTACCACTCACCGAACATCTCTATGTGCAAGCTTGGGGAGGCAAGCAGTGAGGCAGGTGAGTGATGTGACAGGAGAGAATTTATATGGACGAGTAGTCAGTGTGTACCGGCAATACATACCTGAGGAGGTGGAGGACAGAAAAGTGACACTAAGCCGTAGCGAGATCACATTCTGGTGTGACAGACCCCAGCATTCCTCTCTGGTTGACACACAGAGTCGCTAATAATCCCTCCATGCTTCTCACCATCCATCTGTCTCTCTCTGACTCACTCCCTTCAATCTGTCTTTGTCATTCTTTCATTTTTCGGTTCTGCTTTCCATTTTGTTTGAACTCGCTTCATCAACTACTCTCTAATCAGTTTTTTACTTGCAAGGCCACTTGAAGCAATATAGGATTGTGTTACTTACACATCCAGCAGGTATGAAGCAACAGCACGTCATAAAAGGCTTGGAAATTAAATATTGCCATCGACCAGATATGATCATGCCGATAAGCTGACACGTCATTCAAGGATACATTATTCACTTTTGTTTGTGTACCCATTGTAATTTATGTCTGCAACCTCTTGTAAGCTATTGAGATAGCAGTTGGCATATGTAGTATGATTCCAACACAGAATTGATGTTCTCTTTAGTGTTTATTGGCACTGGGAAGTGGTGATCAGGAACATTTGACATATTGGATGTCAACAAAAATACAAAATCATGCATCCATAGTTTTATATTCAAATCAGTGACATGCCCATGTTCACAAAATATAGGCCATTTGTATGTGGATTTTGGAGGACTTTTTTGGAAGACTAAAACCCCCACAATCCTTGCCATCTGTTGTTCACCCAAGGCAGTAGTGGTTCTCCTGGTTACAGAAGAACTTCTGGTCACTTGGTTTTTACGTCAGGGAAAACAGCAGTGGACTAGTCTGAAAACTCCACATTCAGAATCACACACGTACAGTTAAACATCATCGGGCTGTATGAAGCTGTGTGCTGCGTGTGGGTCTCTGGATTACATTACATTACATGTCACTTGTTGACTTTTATCCAAAGCGACTTACATACTCTATACTGTGGGCAATCCCCACAGGAGTAATTTGGAGTGAAGTGTCTTGCCCAGGGACACAACGACATGCTGACTGCAGTGGGGTTTGAACCTGTGACCCCCTGATCCAAACACCAACGCACAACCCACTGCACCACACGCCTCCTTATTTTGGATCTGAAGTGTAGACTTCTTCTTTGGACTGTACTCGCCGTTACTCTCACAGACTCTTCTCTGTCTCATACCAGCTGTTTTTCAGAACTCAGGAGACAGGAAACCACAACAATATTCTGTTGAATCTAATGTTAAGACTGTCCTCTAGTAATCAATTAAAAATGCACATGTTGTTTTAGAGTTCTGCTTTCCAAGTGATTTCAGCCAGAAGAAATCCTCACTGAGGGGGATATGTTGTTCACTCCTATTGATGATCTCACATTGGCTCTAATTTTGTCAAAATATAATTTGTTAAATAATTCCGAGTTTTTCTAATCTGTATTCCTTTTTGATTGTATACAAGTATTATTATTTTTTGAATAAAGCATAAAAAAATCAATATATTTTAAATTCTACTTAAACCTTTTTGTTCTTGTCACTTGCACAGGTGCAAACACTTTGCACAGGCCCAAAACATTTCCATAAAGACAAAAACTCGGCCGTTTCAAAAGCAATGCACTTAAAAAAACATTAATGTGCCAAAAACACATGCAAAGAAAGTGCAGCGCGTTTCTCTTAATGGAAATGTTTTGGCCCGTTGTAGCGTGTTTGCGCCTGCCGGCCACCGTACTTCTCTCTATCTCACTTAAAAACATATTTGAACAAATAATTAAAAAGTCAATGTAAACAGTATAGATCATGCATGTCATATGATTAAGTGAAGCTAAATGGACAGGTTAGCCCAATCCATACAGACCTTAATTACATTCAAAGAGAGAGAGAGAGAGAGAGAGAAAGAGGGGGGCAGATGGACAGCAGGGTCACTAAAGGCTAATTAATTTCTTTTCATAATTTCTCAAGTGCCAAGGCAATCCATTAGACATGGCTGGCTATAAATCATCTCAGCCTCGGCGTGCCTGTCTCCGTGTGTGTGTGTGTGTGTGTGTGTGTGTGTGTGTGTGTGTGTGTGTGTGTGTGTGTGTGTGTGTGTGTGTGTGTGTGTGTGTGTGTGTGTGTGTGTGTGTGTGTGTGTGTGTGTGTGTGTGTGTGTGTGTATTAGCAAAATAACAGATGCAGTTAGTGAACAAAGCATCCTATAGATTTCCTCAAACATGCACACCCGCCGTTGGGCAGAAAACCATCAGTTTCACTGCAGTTGAATCTATTGGAGAACCTCGAGAGTGTGTGTGTGTGTGTGTGTGTGTGTGTGTGTGTGTGTGTGTGTGTGTGTGTGTGTGTGTGTGTGTGTGTGTGTGTGCGTGTGCGTGTGTGTTTGTGTGTGATGAATTATTAGAGATGTAGTTCACTTGGCTTAGAGCCTTGACAGATGCAATTTAAATCCCGCTAACAATGAATCAAAGTGACATTTTATGTGAGATTCTTGTGTTCTCGATTGTGGTGACACCTTGCGTGATACATATTCACTGCCATAGTCTTTTGTCCTTCACTTCTTTTACGATACATTTACAACATTGTCAACAGTTCTTTGTGAAGTCATCAGACCGGACAGATACCTTTTTTAAAGATAATACAATATATATAAATGTAGGTAAAAAATAATGAAAGTAACCGCATCTTTAGAGTTATTCAAAATCTAGAAAAAACACAAACAATCTTTTGTCACTGACAATAAGGTTTCCTCAACACAATAAGATCATTATGTATGTAACAGAGATAGATAAGGCTTAATGTTACAGTTTAAAAAAAACATCTGATGCAGAGCAACATCTACATCAATATTTATTTTATCTTTTAATATCTTTATGGTAAATGTAAAATTCCCAGACCCTTTTTTTCCGTTGCAGTAACTAAGCAAATACATTTATTTTACCGAGGCGCAGTTAAGTTCCTCAACAGTCAGGATCAAACCGTTTAGGGACGCCTCCCAGCATGCATTGTAAAAAAGGATTAAGTAAGGCTCATGTTATGTGTCAGCCTCCATTTTTAATAGTGTTAATGTGCTCCTCATTGTGTTCCAGAGCCATTGTTTTGACATTTCACCTGTTGTTACACAATTAGACATATGAGCAAATGCAGTAAGATTAGAGTCCTGTTGTGCTCTGACATTTTCCATGTGAACACAAAGATGGGTTTATTGCTGCATGGTGTGCCTGTTGCTAACAATAAGGCTGCAAATAAATATGCCGCTAAGTTCTTCGAACCTGTGAACCCCAGCTCATCGTAATGCTGTCTAAATACTAAAAGCATCTGTTCTCTCTGATTTCCATTGTGTTTCTGTCCTGTTAACTGTGAACAAAAACTGTAGATAAGATAAGATCTTATAGACAACACGCTTATTTCCCTTTTGCTATTTGTCTTAAATCCTGTTTGAGGAATTCACATATATTAACAAACTTCTTCAGTCATGTTTTTTCCTGTTCGGAAATAATTATAGGATGAGACATATTCCCTCCTTTAATGAGAGGAAAATTAATCCATGCTTTTGTGTCTTCACGCTTGGATTTCTGTAATTCTCTATGCTGGCTTCAGCCGAGGAGCTGCAGCTCGCCTTCAGCTCGTTCAAAATGCTGCAGCTCATCTTTTAACAAAGAGAAGGCACAGAAAGCACATTACTCCAACACTGGCCTCTCCCCATTATCTACCGGTTGAGTTTAGAGTTAAATATACAAATCTGGAAATTACCATCTCAAGTTTAGTACCTGAGTACGTTTCTGAATTGTTAAGGCTTTTGTCCAAGTTCATAGCAATTTTCATAGCAAGGGGGGCCATGCATTTTCCTATATTTACCACGGCGATTTAGAAGTGTTTGGTTTTATGTGAGATTCTTTCAATTTCAGAAATAAATCTCAAGAATCATTTTTATTTCTTCACTTTTTCAGACTGATGTAGTTCCTATCCTGCCTAACAGTCTCAATAGTGAAGGACCTTTTTTTGCTATAACTACATATGTATTACTTTATGAATGTAGGAGCAACAGGACCCCACATCCTTAGACAAATGTAAACCAATAACACTCAAGGTCAAGAGCTAGTGTTTAAACATTGCTAGGAGTGTGCAGAAAGGATTTTTTGTTTTTAAACCAACAAATGAAATGTAATGTCTCATGCTCTTTCTCTGATGTCCATGTGACCAAAAAGGACAAGACAGTCATTTTTGCAATAAAGTTATGAGTGCAGATTGAGTTGTGGTGTAGCCTAATGTAAAGTTGGTTTGGTAATATTCTTCATGTGGCAAATATAGATGAACAGGAAGCAGGTTGATACATGAGAAATGGTTCTGAGAGATTGGAAACTATAAACAATAAGTATGTGATTTACAGAATAGGAGACAAATACTTGGCTGGTTATGAGCGGTTCGATGTTCCCTCGAAGTGTCATTGCCCATTAGGACTAAGCAGTGACTCCAAGAGCCACATATCTTATGATTAAGAGGCAAAGGACAAAAAAAGGTTGTTACATTGCCTTTGAAGGTAAAGTGTATTGAGATGTGATGAAGCTGATAAAGCTAGAAACAGACTGTTAAACTGTAGAGGACAAAGTGTGCTAAAAGTGAAT